GGCGGCCAGGTGGCGGGCGCGGAGCCCGGCGCGGCGCGGCCGCCCTCCGGGATGGCCAAGCTGCTGTCGGCGCTCTTCTACGGGACCTGCTCCTTCCTCATCGTGCTGGTCAACAAGACGCTGCTGACCACCTACCGGTGAGCGGGGCCGGCGGGGTCTGCGGGAGCGCTGGCTGGTCTGTGCGGGCGCCCCGGGCGCGGGGAGCGCGGAGCTGCGCCTGTCCTGGGCGCTAGCGGGTGCGGACCAGAGACCAGGAACCGCGCGTCTCCGCTCTGCTCAGTGCCGGTCTCAGCTCTGCTCAGTGCCGAGCTTTCCCAGGGGCACGCTCGGATCTTGCAACTTCCTAAACACGAAATCACACTCACACCCAGGGCCTGGCGAGGTGGAGCTTACATTTCTGCAAATCCAGATGGCCGTCAGATTAGTCTTGAGCTGGTAAGGCTTATGGTGATTGTCTTCAGACTTTTTGCTATAGGGTGCGTGCACTTCTTGGAGCGAGACAGAGAGAGAGGAATCATCCCCCAGGGGAGATGGCCATGCCACGAAATGACCCCCCAGCGGGGATGGCCACGCCCCAGTCCTTTCTCCTCCACACGGACACTCGTGCTGGGTGTGGTTTTCAGGCTGCGGGGTTCGGGACTGGTTGGCCATTCATTCTCCCATGACGGGCATGTTCTTGGAAAACTAGGGGAAACGATGACAAGTTCATAGGGTGCTCTTTTTTTTAAAAATTATTTATCTGATTTTATTTATTCATTCATTTATTTTTAAAATTTGACTAGAGAGAGAGAGACAGGGTGAGAATGAGAGAGAGAGGAAGTGAGGACCCCAGGCTGGCCATGTGGGAGTGTCCAGCGCCTTAACCACACGGTACCTCCTCGTCTCCATACTATACTCTTCTATGGACTAGTGTGAAATAAACCAGCAAACTGTGCTTCCTTGGACCTCTCTGTCAGGACTAGAAAATCCGGTTTAACTCTGCAGGTGTTGGAGCAGCCTTGAAAGAACTGTGGATTCTGACCCCCCAGCGTTGGTTAATGGTTGTGCTTCTTGGGAAGTCTCACAGTTACAGTTTCTTTAAATGCAAAAACCGGATAATGGCAACTCTGTTAAAGACCTCCCAGGATTTTGCACCAGCTGTCATGGCCAGAGCTCTGTAAACTGCACTGTGCTGCAGAAATGTAAAATCAGGTTTTTAGAGCCCAGCGAGCCCTCAGAGACCCACCCGAACTGCACCAGTAGCGCCTCCAGCAGATCTTTGCTGAGCACCTACTATGTGCTTAACTTGTTGCTGGCCCTGGGGAACTAAGCCCCTGCTCTGGAGGCTCTGCTTCAGTGGGAGAGACAGAAAAGTTAAGGAGTGGCGCCATTCCAGATAGGGCCGACAGTGCCTGGGTGGGGTGGTGGGCACTAGAGCATTCCAGGTGGGGGACAGCAGCAAGAGCGACATGCCAAAGGGGCACAAGCTTAGCCTGCTGGAGCACCAGGGACGGTCCCTGTGGCTGGGACTGAGCGAGCAAGCCAGACGGTAGGAGGGACCTTCTAATGAATGGCAGGCAGCTCCTCTATTCCCTCGGTGATACACATTAGGCATTGACAAGGTGCCAGGCACTGTGCCAGGCACTCCGGACATAGAAGTGAGCATGGCAGATCAAAATCTCTGGCTCTGGGCTGGCCGTGTGGTCTGGTGGTTAAGGGAGCCAGATTTCACATGGCTGGCCTTGAGGGTCCAAATCTGGCCCCGGTGGCTGGAAACACACACTGGGTGTATGTGCTCGAAATACTGACAAAATGGTGAAATGGAGGAGAAAGGATTCTGGCATGACTATTCCTCACTGGGGGCGTGCTTTCTCCCTCTCCCTTCTCTCTCTGTCTCTCTCTGGTGAGCACACACACCCTCTGGCAAAATAAAACAGAAACACACAAAAGCAAAACCAAATTGCTCGTCTCCTGGTGGACCGCTGAATGAATGAGTACTGTAAATGTTATGACAGATATGGCCAGGGTTGTGTCTCATGTGGTTTTCGCTGTAGGGTGCATGCATTTACCAGACAGAAAAGAGAGAGCAGGAAAGCAAGAAAGCGCTCCCCCCCCCTCCCAGGGAGGGTGGTCACGCTGCGGTCCTTTCTCCCCCTTATTCTTCTCTTGGAATTTGGGGCACACGTGTGCATGTGCCTGTCGGGTCTAGAACTGAAACCGCACTGGCCGTGTGGGATCCAACAGCCTTGACCTCCAAAGCACTGTTTGCCTTGGCCAGGGTTCTGGAAGGGAAGAGAAGGCAGGAGAGGGAGTTTGGGGGTGTGGAGTGGGAAGGAGTTTGCTGTTTTAGACGGGGTGCTCATGGAACCTCCTCGAGGAGGTGGTGTTTGAACCAAGACCTGAGGGTAGTGAGGGAGCGAGCCATGCTGGGAGGGGAGGACGACCCTTCCAAGCGTGGGTGGGGGAGTGCGCAGTAGGTGGCATCTGAGTAAAGGGGATCTACTGTGTGGGCCTGGGAGCCCCCGTGAGGGTGCTGGCGTCTGCTCTGAGTGGGGCGGGAGCCATGGAAGATGTCACGGTCTGTCACCCTGGCTGCTGTGTGGAGTACAGGTACTGGGGAGCATGGTAGAAGCACAGAGACTGTGCTACGTGCTTGCAACTTTTAGTCTAAATGCGGTTGGAAGTCCCTTGGAAGGCTTTAGCATGGAGGTGACCTGACAGCATTTGTGTGATTAAAAGTTTTTTTCAGGGGAGGGGGTGCACAGCAGGTGGCATAGCAGTTAAGACGCTGGGACTCCCACATGGCCGACTATAGTTTGAGTCCCAGACCTGGCAGTTGGAAAACCATTCTGGGCACATGTGCTGTGTGCCCAAAATCCCAGGAGGAAAATGAAGTAGAAGGGATTGTGGTGTGGCCATCCTCCTGAAGGATGCTTTTCTTCAGTCTTTCTGTCTCTCTTTTCTCTGGTGAGCACACGTGCCATATGGCAAAAACCTTAAAAAAAAAAGTTATTTTTTATTGGTGAATGGGTAGAGACCTTAAAAAAAAAAAGTTATTTTTTGTTGGTGAATGGGTAGAGACCTAAGGTATTGGCGGCGGTAGGTGGGGGGAGCTCTAGGTGAGGGTGCTTGGACTGGGTGGGCGTGGCATGCACTTAAGGGGATGGATGGGTCTTGTCCATTTTTCTGGTGAGCCTGTAGTTTTTGTTAATTTGTTATGCCAGAAGGCACATAGAGGAGGGGAGAGAGGGAGAGAGAGAAGAACAGAGGACTCTCCAGTGGTGCCTGGCTATGCAGCGTCTTCCCCCTCAGGTCTCCATCCTATTAGGATCCGGGGCACACGTGTTCTTTAAACCCCTGGGGCCATGACTTGTTCCCTGGTTGATCACGTGGGATTTGCTCCTTGATCCCTATGCTGCAAGGCTGGCCCTGTTGGTTTCCTTGACACACTCTCTCTCTTTACTTTTCTTTATTATTATTTAATTTGATCAGAGAGAGAGACAGAAGGAAAGTGAGACAGCAAGCTACTAGATCTGGGACTTGACCCAGTCTGTCATGTGGGAGTCTAGAGCCTTAACTACCACGCCACCTGCTGGTACAGTTTCTTCTTTTAGAGGTTTTTTTTTTTTTTTTTTTTTTGCCATGTGCGCTTGCCAGCGACAGAGACAGTGAGAGGTAAAGTGAGGAATCACTTCCCAAGGGAGATAGCTGCATCCCAATCTCTTCTCCGTTCTCCTCCTGAGATATTGGGCATGCATGCATATGCGCCTGGCATAATTTTCAAGCCGTCAGGTCCTGGACTGGAACTGTGGTTGGCCATATGGGAGTCCAGCACCTTAATCACTGTGCCACTTGCTGGCCCTCTCTATCTGTGTGTTGCAGCGTGCTTGCTGGGGTCCACAGGAAACACAAATCCTGCCTTAAAAACTTAGGATGGGGGCCAGCTGTTAGCATAATGGCTACGTTGCTGGACTCCCACGTAGTCGACCACGGTTTGAGTCCCGGACCCGGTGGCTTAAACTCACACCAGGCGCGTGTGCGTGCATGCACAAGATCCCGAGAGGAGAATGGAGGAGAAGGGATTGCAGCGTGGCCATCCCCCCTGGGGGGTGATTTCTCATTTTCTATCTCTCTGTCTCTCTCTGTCTGTCTGGAGAGTGCATGCGCCCTATAGCAAAAACCTTTCTGAAAAAAAAACAACAACAAAACAAACAAACAAACAAACAAAAAATCCCTTAGGATGAATAAATACCTAACATGGGTCATTTAACCTATAGAATGCAAGCTGATGAAAGGAAAGGAAAAACACCTACAACAGGAAACAAGACAATAATTTTAAAATTATTATTATTTAAAATATTTTTTTAGAGAGATTTTTGCTATATGGTGCATGCACTCACCAGAGACACAGAGAGCGTCAGAGAGACAGAAAGCGAGCAGTCAGCCCAGGGGGATGACCATGCCACAGTCCTTTCTCCAGTCTCCTCTTGGAACCTCGGGCACGTGCACCTGGCATAAGTTTAAGCTACTAGGTTAGGGACTCAAACCACGGTCGACTACGTGGCAGTCTAGCACTGTAACCATTATACCATCTGCTGGTTTCAAGACAATGATATATTTTTAAAAATAACTATTTTATTTATTTATTTTTTAATTTGATCAGAGAGGGACAGTGTGACAGAGAGAAAGTGAGAAAGCAAGCTGCCAGGTCCAGGATTCGAACCGTAGTCAGCCATATGGGAGTCCAGCGGCTTTACCCACCACACCACCTGCTGGCCCCAAGACAGTGATATTAACATGCATGTTTGGAGTAGCTAGGAGTCGTCAGCTGAAGGTTGAAGGTAAGTTTCACTTTTTGTGCTCCAGTGGGCCGGCTCCCAGCTCTGGGGCAGTTGGTGTCCTGCATGTTCTCTCACTGGAAGCAGGGACAGGCGGCATGGCCAGTGCTGTGCTGATGGAGGGCAGTAGCCAACCAGGACGAATTATGGTAGGCGACACAGAACTCCAGCTGCCCCATCTTCAACCTTTGAATCCCATGACCGAAGGAGGAAATGGAAGATTAGTCATGACCTTTTAAATAAGCACATTTCTGTAATGCGATATATTACACAGTTGGAGAACCCTGTTCAGGTCATGCTGTTAATGCTCTCCTCTCAAAGTGTCTTTGGCACAGTTTTGAGGGGCAGAGGATGGGACTGATTTGGTTACACCAATAAACCATAAGCTTGGCTGTTGGAGACTAGACGGCCGTGTTGTGGGAGAGGAGGAAGGACCTTTTGGTGGCTACCTAATTCCCAGGGATGTGGGCATGTGGCGGGGTGGTGGTGGTGGTGGTGGTGGTGTTTTTCTCACGTTTTGGCCAGATTGTGGTTGGGGAGCGTGGTCTTGGTTATCGGTTAGAAGCTTGGCTGTTGGAGACTAGACGGCCGTGTTGTGGGAGAGGAGGAAGGACCTTTTGGTGGCTACCTAATTCCCAGGGATGTGGGAATGTGGCGGGGTGGTGGTGGTGGTGGTGGTGGTGTTTTTCTCACGTTTTGGCCAGATTGTGGTTGGGGAGCGTGGTCTTGGTTATCGGTTACTTTTGGTTCAGTGTAGTGCCGGATTTACCCTCCCAGCATCCTTCCTGGCTCATTCCCCTGGGAGCTGCCCAAAGGCTCCTGTCCCTCCCTTTCCTTAGCTTGCCCTGTCATCTGCTTCTTCCTCCAGCACCCGGGCAGCTCTGGGACCACACCTGAGCCGGCCAGTTAGACCGGCACGGCCCACCTTGCTGCCTGCCACGTGCTTTTGTGGCTCGGAAATGGCCCCTTCACACTTGCTTCTTCATCCCCAGACTCCATGCCCCTCCCCTCTGCCCTCCTCCTCTGACCCTTCCTTGAGTCCATGGAGACCATGCAGGAGGCCCCATGGTCTCCTCCCTGCTGCAGTGGAGGGAGCGGCTCTGTGCTGCGGGGAGGAAGGTCAAGCTCTCCTGTTTCAAACACCCACTCCTGGCCCTTCCGTGATCAATGTCTTCTCTCCTGCATCAGCAGTCTGTTTCTATCAGCTTAAAAATAAGGGCCAGGGGGCCAGCCGGTGGCACGGTAGTTAAAGAACTGGACTCCACATGGCTGACTGCAGGTCAAGTCCTGGAACCAGGGGTTTGAAAATCACATCGGGCAAGTGCATGTGCCCAAAATCCCAGAAGAATGGAGGAGAAGGGATGGTGGCATGGCCATCCCCCCTGGGGGTGATTTCTCACTTTTCATCTTGCTGTTTTTCTCTTTTTCTCTCCTCTGTGATGAGCACACAGTCGCTATGGAAAAAGCCTGTAAAAAGGAGCCAGCAAGTGGTGTAGTGGTTATGGCACTGGACTCCCACATGGCCAGCTGCGGTTTGAGTCCCACGTGTGTACCTAAAGTCCCAAGAGGAGAACGGAGAAGGGATTGTGGCATGGCTATCCCACCTGGGGGGTGATTTCTCAGTTTCTTTCTCATTGTCTCTCTCTGGCAAGCATACATGCCCTATGATAAAAACCTTTAAAAAATAAAATAAATAAAATAAACCTTACCAAAACAAAACAAAACAAAACCCAACAACACAAAAAAGCCAGCCAGAAGGCAGTGCTCCTTGACCTCGGGCCCACATGGAAAGGTCCTGGGTTTGTCTCCTGAGGCCTCCTTGCACACACCAGGTGTGTGTGTGCCTGTGATCCAGGCCAGGGAGGCTGCTGGTGGATCTAGGCACGAAGATTCTGTCTGTTGGGGGTGCCTCTGTCTCTTTCTCTCTCATGCAGGAAATAAATAAACTAAACCGAAATTAAAAAAAGAAAGAAAAGCTCATGTTTCTCAGGCAAACAAAAATCCTCTCTTGATCTGATATAGACTGTGGTTTTTTTTTTTTTTTTTTTTTTGAGAGAGAGATTTTTGCTATTGGGCCCCTGTACTCGCTGGAGAGACTGAGAGAGACAGAGAGACAGAAAGTGAGAAATCATCCCCCAGGGCAGAGGGCCACATGGCAGTACCTTCTCCTCCGGTCTCCTCTCAGGATTTTGGGCACACATGCACACACATCTGGCGTTGAGTTTCAAGCCTCCAGGTCCAGGACTTGAACCACAGTTGGCCATGTGAGAGTCCAGCAATGTAACCATTATGCCAGCTGCCGGTCCCTCTTCTGTTCCTTTCAGAATCAGATTCTTCTTTCCTTCCTCTTCTTTTCTTCTTCTTCTTCTTTTTTTTTTTTTTTTTTTTTTTTTT